TTGTAGGAAATCGTGTTTGGGTAATAATATTGAAAATCAATGCAGTGTTTACTTTATTTCAGATCTAACAGCTTGGTCTGCCCGTTACTGTACTCCTCTTTAGATGTGTGTTTCAGCCCATGCTGTGACTATGCTGTAGTAACAAACAATCGCTTAGCAACACGATGCAGCACAATTTGCTTGAGTTTCATTTGTTATTCCAATTTCATTCTGACTACGTCTGACAACTGATTGTTTGTTTAACGCGTGATTACATTTGTAACTTAGCGCGGAGGGGACGGGGAACGCGGCTCTGCTCTGCTCTCCTCCCTCCGCCGCCGTCCAGCAGGGGCCAGGTGCTGCGGGGAGTTCACCAAAGTGCGGCCGGTCCGCGACAGCCCCGCACAACCGCGTCCAGCTAAGCAACTTCCTAGAGAGGGGTCGCAGGCGAGTTGAGAAGGGAGTCGGGAATCAGGCTCTTGACATTAAATTATTCTGGGAACCCTAAGACTGACTTGTAAAATAATAATAATAATAATAAACAATATGCATTATTATTATTGTTATTATCGTGTAATTATGTCATCTCGCGAAGAAAAATCTGATAATACCGCCCTACTGAGTAGAGGATTGTAAAGTTTAACAGGATTTAAAAGCCTGGCTATCATTGAAGAGAAAAAAAAAAAATTCTTTACTGTGGTGTTGCGGCTCCTGTGTGATTTCCCGGAATTCATTAATTTTCTGCCTCTGTATCTCTCCTAGAGGGATCGGGCAGAAGAGGCACTGACATCATTATTCGAGCAGTTAAAGTGCATACAAAATCACCGTAATGCTGACCTTAAAAGGAAGGATCCCTTTCAGGCACTAGTGTAACTTTGTGGGAATTAATTGTTTTATGCTGGGGGGAGGATTGGGAAGGGGGATCATTAATTATACTAATTAGACTGCCTGCCTGCAGCTGGAGCTAGGGAGGGTCCCCAGCAGGGCTGGTCGGTGCCGAGGTAGAAGGGCTCGCAAAGCTCTCGCGGAGCTCGCCGGGCACGTTACTCCGGGCCGCTCCGTAGCGCAGCATTTCAGCGGTGTCGCCCATCCCCGCTCTCGAGTGCTCGCTGGGACCCAGGGGGGACCCGCTTCGCTGCGCGGACGCCACCCAAGAGTTAGTTGAAGGCGTCCCGCATCCGTGAGACCTGTCCCGCACCGGGTGGTTCGTCTCGCTGCGTCCCCGCCGATCGCCCACCGCGGCGGCATGCAGCGGTGCCCCGGCCTGGACCCGA